TAAGCAGATCTGATGATACGAGTGAGGGGCTGGTGTGTTATCGCACACTACCATGCAATTGACACTCACCACTGGTTCCTTGGCCGGAGGAGGGTTATGTGTTGTCTGCTGTGGTGGCTCGGAGTCTGGATGCAGAGAGGCTGGATGCTCGTTGCTGTTGCATAGATGACATTGCACCTTGGCTGTGCAGTCTTTGGATGGGTGTTTGGATTCGCAACACTTGTAGCAAAATTGGAACTCCCTTATCAAATCTTTCCTTTGGGTCAGGGATTTCACTGCAAGCCCCTGGCACCTGTTCAGGGAGTGTCGATAGTTGTGCAATGGGCAAAACTGGCCTCTCTTTAGAGTCGGAGGCTTAAATTGCGTTGCTTCTGATGAGTCATCTCCTGAATTCTGTTTTATTTGTTGTAGCGAGGTTGTGATCTCTAGCGATTTGCAATATACTCTTGTGAGGTGTAGAGTTTCAGTTGTGTTCTTTGTTACTTGGGAGGAATCTGCGTCTGAGGCGGAGGTTTCTAAAGCTGTTGCAGGACTCTGTTTGCCGGACAACAAATTCTTGGAAAAGGGCAAAAGGTGGTTCTCTTTTGTGGTTCACGGCCAGAAAGGCATCAGACAAAACAATCCATTGTTCCAATATTTCTTTTGGGAGTTTGGCAATGATTGTTTCTTGCGTTATGAAGAGATGAAGGCAAGCCAGTCCTGGTAAGTTAGAACATTCCTTGGCTGTTTGCAGCTCCATAAGGATGTTGGAAAATTCCTCCAGTCTTTGGGTTTCATGGATGGTGATATACGGGAAATGGTCAAGTCGTTCTAGGAGCGAGTAATCCATCAATGTGTCATCACCATATTTTTGGTCCAAAGCATCCCACAGTTGTTTTAGAGTGGTTCCTGGGTCATTGAGTATGCCTGTGTAAATGTGTTTCACCATGTAGCTAGACCATAATCCTAGCCATGCTAACAGAAATTTAAGTTCTTCGCCAGGAAGTAGCTGTTCGGGTTGAATGGTACTTGTGAAAATGTTCTTCCACAGTAGGTATTCTCTGCCTGGCTTGTCATTGAATTTTTTCCTACCACTTGCTGCTAAGTTCAACCTTTCCCATCTTAGTGGCGGTTCTCTGCTACTTGTCTGTGAGGGCAGGTCATTTCTTGGTATGATGCCCTTGTAGGCATAGCGTTGTGGCTCGAGGGTATGTGTTGTGGACGGTACATGGGTCTCTTCAGAGTACTTTATGAGGAGGTCGTTATCTGGCCACACATATGCAGGTAGAACCTCTTGAAGTCAGGCGGCATTAGCGCTGTCTTGCAGGAACTCTGTTGCCTGTGGATTGAGTGTGGCAATTGTGGTTGGTGGCATGGCTAGTGATTGAGAAGTCATTGTGATCACTGGTGGGCTAAGTTACTTGCCCAGGCCATGAGACATTGGGGTAGGTTTGCTGATGGTGGGAAGTGAATCTCGTATTTTAGGTCTTACAATGTCAGTTGCATGACTGATGTTTAGAGTCTGTGTTTGAGATTCACTCTTGTGCTTCCCAGGTTGTGGGAGACTTCTAAGTAACTGAGGCGGTTCCACCAGCTCGTTTCATAGTGATTGCTGTTCACCTACATAGGTCTTGACCCGTGTATCTGGACTCTCTTCTCCCAACTCATTGAGGTCAAAGTTGAAGGAGGCGTTCCATAGAAACTCTATATATTGGGGCATTGAATTAGATCAACCTGACTTGAACACAAGTAGTCCTAGGAGACAGTGCTATCATGATCCCTGAAGATACAGAATGGATCGATTTAATGCAATGGTTAAATATTTAGGAATAATTTTTTTCATGGGTAGGAATAAAAGGATGAGAATATAATGCCATGATAACTGTGAAAAATCATATATTACAAGCAAGGGTGTTTTCTTCGCTTAATGTAACCTTTCAGGTAGATATTCCCTCCACAATACCATGCTCAGATAATGAGAAGTAATATTCTAATTACCACAAGTATATTAGTGCTCTGCAACTATGGAAATGGGCATGTGAAGGAGGGGACCAGTGCCCTGGGTGGACAAATACTCAGGATAGCCCCAGTAATTGGGCACTGAAAACATCTATATTAGGGCATATGTCAGATCCCTGTTCATGATACTGCCATTCAGCTGGGTGGATGTAGTATTTAGATATATTATTTAGTTTATTGCTTGTATTATTTTCCATGCTTGTAACTTTTCATTTTATAACCTTTATTCTGGCTCCTAGGTGCCCTGAGATTTTCTCACCTTTTGAGGAATGTGAAGGGAGGGGGAGGGCATGTGGATTGTTTCATTCTGAAAGACAGCAGAAGATGACCCTGAGAATGCTTGCTTATCAGGATCTCAAGATGGCTGTTGCAATAATATTTCAACACCTGAGGGGAGGAGTCTCTAATTCCTATTATTCTAACTGTATTGCCCGAGGTAGCGCAGAGTCTACTTTTCCTTTGTCTTACTATCAATAAAAGGTTCCTTTTGAAATGTCAAAGTTTCAAGAGTCTTTACTTTAATGAGGAAGGAGGAAAGGCAGGACCTTACATAAAGCAGGCTCTGCAAACATGGTCAACCCGGAGAAGCAAATTGGGCAAGAGTGGGATTCAAATTTTTTAACAACTGGTTCTGTGGGTGTGGCTTGGTGATCATGTGACTGGGTAGGCGTGACTCTGAGGTCCCTTTCAGCCCTGGATTGCTGTCTGTTTCAAAGCATCCGCTGAAGCTACGTCTAGTGCCAGGGTTTGTGGGTTTGCATGAAAAAGCAGAGCAACTTATTTGTTTTGAAGAGGAGGATATGGAATAAAGAAAGAAGATTGGCTTCAACAGTTTTAGGGGATTGCATAGTTTTGTTTACCTAGAACATTGTCAAGGCAGTAATCAATACTTTATTAGTTCCAAATGTTCTTTTGGCTGAACATTCAATCCATGAACACTATATGGCTGGATGCTCCCAGGAGGCTGCAGGGAGGCCTCTTAGGCCCAAAACAGGGTGCAGGGAGGGCTGTGCCACACCCTGTTAGTGTTTGGGGATAAACCCCTGAGCAGAGTGCACAGCAGCAGTCTAACCAGGCAGCCAAATGAGAGAGAGAGGCTGGGCCCAAGAATATACAAACACTTGAGACAAAAACACTGTTTGTGGTTTTAAATAGATATTTAATTCACACAGAGATTGAGAAGAGTCATTCAGTCCATATGTCAGTATCCAGTATATCCATCCATTTACCTAATCTATAAACAGTAAATACAATGTCTTTAACTGCTTGAAAATCTTCTTCTTCCGATACCTTTCTCTCAAAGACAATGCTGAGTATAAACAGCGCACCAAGTAAACACAGTCCTTTAGTTCAATAGAGAGAAGTATCTTGCACAGTAGACATCTCAAACAGAAGTAAACAGTAGTAGGCAGACAGCAGACAGACCAGAGACCAGTAACACCAGGAACCAGGAACCAGACCAGGAACTCGAAACCAGGATCAGAAACCAGGAATCAGAAACCAGGAAGTGTTACGTCTCTCTCACTGCCTCTTATTGCAGCTTACAACCGCACCCATAATTATGCAATGACATTGCAGTTTTGAGCTTAAAGCTGCAAACACTTAAAACTAGGTTTTATATATTCATTCACCCAAACCAGTTGGTGTATCCATATACCCAACACACCCCACTCCCCATTTTGGGCCTAGCAAGCCTCCCTGGAGCCTCCTGGCAGTAAAAATGGGGCATGGGGGGAGGGCTGCCGCACCCCCTGCACCACGTTTTGGGCATAGCAAGCCTCCCTGCAGCTTACTGGGAGCAAAAACAGGGTGAGGGGGCGCCATACCCTCTCTGCCCCTTTTGGGGCCTAGGAAGCCTCCCTGGAGTCTCCTGGGAGCTAGACAGGTATTGTAGGGATTCCTAGGAGACATGAGGCAGGGTGGGCGGGGCCAGATAGTCGTCAGAACATGGAGATTCTATGTAATGCCGATGCTCCTGAGCTGCGGAACTTCGACCGATTCATGGTCACCCTGTGGCGTCGCTTTGAAGACCCCCTTGCTGATTGCAAAGCCCACAATCGCATCAGGGTTGTAAAGCAAAGGCGCCACACATGGCAGAATGAGGAATTTTGTGATTTTGCTTGCCACTTAGATTGGCCAGAGGACATCCTGGTGAGCTGGTTTAAAGATGGGCTGATCAATGATGTCTACACTACCTGCCTGGCCCGAGGTGTCCCAAATCACCTACACAAATGGTACCTCATAGCGGAGGAGGCAGAGATCAACATGACCAGGAACCAGTACCAATCAGGGCAAATCTGGAGAAGATCCCCATCCCAGGGGCAGTGAGAACCATTCAAATTGCAAACCAATTTAAGCACCCTATAGGCCAGATCCGGTCCGCAGGCCTTGAATTTGATTACCTGATTTCATTCGCTATTTTAAATGTTTCATTTAGAAGCAGAACACCATACATTTGTATGCAAATCCAATTAGATGCTATTCACTTGCCTTATGTTTGACCATCAACAGGGAAGAGTCTTTGGGCTGCACTACTTTTCATTAGTTAGCCACAAACCTGGGAGCTGTTGTAAATAATAGATAGGATGGGATGGCGCTAAATAGAAGTGCCAAATTGTTTTCCCAAAATGTTTCTATAAATGTGGTAGTAACAGGTGAAGGTTTAACAATATACTTCTTCTCAGTCCCCACTTAAAAGTGATTATTGTGGATCAGTCTTTTCCAAAGGTCAGTTACACAACCCACAATTTACCTCAGAACCAGGCAGAGATGGGCTGCACTTATGTTCACAACCAGTTCGCTGGTAGTGAGAGTGCCCTTCATGGACAGGATAGTGCAAGGGCAGGTGTGTAGGCCCAGACCGTGATAACAACTACTGGTTTGCCCGAACCAGTCCAATCAGGCAGCAGCCCACCAGGAGACTTAATATTTGCATTTGCCATTCACAGAAAAAGTCATGAGACAAGGTTCACCAAAGAGAGAGAAAAAAAAAAAAACCCCAAACCCCAAGCTCTTTTTTATTGAAAATGAAAAGCATGATAAGTAAAACAAGGAAATAATATACAATTCAGCAGTTAGCAAGCTTTGATATATTACCCGTTTCTAAATTCTGAGCCTTAGCTTTCAGTCTAATCCCATGCCAATATAATGCAGAATTGTACCTGTTCCACAACTACAAGGGGTAAGAAGCTGAGAAAAACCTTTCTGGGTAGGCCTCTGCTATAGACCAACAGAAGCTTCTGCCTGAAGTATTATTTAAGCAAGATTCCCTGTTCTGCTTGTGCTTAAGCTATTAGAGCTTGGTCCATTAGTAGTTTGTTCTTAGAGAACGCCACACAGGTTGTAATACCCCAAAACAGGCCTCCTCTAGCTTTCCTTCCTAGGAAGTTGACATGGTGGACTGAGTGGTGCCACAGCAAAATGGCGGGTGGCTTTTTTCACCCCCACACGGTCTTTTGATAGTAGGATTGTTTTTCTTTTATATTTTTATATTAATTCTTTTATATTCTTATTCTTTCATATGAATTTGAACATTTATTTGCCCTCCCTCCAAACCTGATCCAAGGTACCATTTAGGTTTAGTGCGGCCTGAAGCTTTAGGAGCCTTTCTCCACTCTGAATTGCATAGAATAGAGGAAACACTTTTCTTATTGCAGCCTATGCATTGTCACTGTTAATTCCTTAAAGTCAGATATCTAATTTTTAAGAGAAAGATGCTTTCTCTTAAATTACTTCACAGCGTATCCATAAATATGGGGACGAACTATACTTAGGAACAACGGTCCTATGATGTGTTGCAAGTTCAGTTTAGAAAACCCCACATTCTCCAAATCTTTCCAGGTCTCTTTTAACAAGGAGCATCCATCTCCTACATATCTCCAACTAGGGTCACAGACTTGTTGCCAGAAGTAGGTCCAGGTTGATCTGTCAGCTGCTACATGTTCCATGAAATAGAACGCACCACCCTGAAAAAAGTAAAATAATACAAAATAATACAAAATAATAATAATAATAATAATAATAATAATAATAATAATAATAATAATAATAATAATAATAATAATGCTTTGAACTTACATAAAAATTGACACTGTAATCAAGTTGTTATATAACTTCCTGGGGACATGAACTCTTAGGGGGAGCCTGGAACCCCCACAAAACACATTCCTAGGTGGCAGATTGACCCCCCCCCCAACCCAATATGGCTTTCATGCTGTAATGGTGGGTTGGAGGGAATCAAATACTTCCCGTGGACCAACAGTCCTGGTGAGTGGCAGCTGACTTATTATCTGAAGGCGAAGACGACATTGGTCAGAATGGCTTCAGAAGAACAGCACACACTGTGGTGGCAGACGCTTAAACAGCGTGTGCACAGTGGTGTAGAAAGCAAAGGCTACTACACTATATATTTCCCAGGAAAATCTTGTTAATGGTGACAAAAACATGGCTCCGAGTCTGGGTGCCCCTTAAATGGGACAGGGGTGTTAAGAATTTCCCGGTCCACTAGAAGCATGATAAAACCAAAACTATGAATTGGACCATGGAATCTTGAGAAGTCTATATGAATCTGGGAAAACACACAACACTATCAAAGAAATGTCCAAATACAATATCTCTGTATTGAGAGTGAGTGAAATGCACTAGCCTGAAAATGGAATGTGTAGAATAGGAGATTATACTATCTACTACTCTGGTGAAATAGTAAACACCATTGAAATGGAGTAGCTATAATTATAAACAATCTTGTAAATAAATGCATCTAGTCCTTTATTCCTGTATCCGATAGAGTGATGATGATCCAAATAAATAGTACTCCAGTAAATACGAATGTTATACAAGTTTATATTCCCCTGGCTGACAGTGATAAGGCAGATTTAGAGAAGTTCTTTGAAGATATAAGCAGTGAAAACCCTAAAAAGTAATAATATCACAATACTCATGAGGGACTTCAATGCAAAAGTGGGAGAAGGAAGTGATGCTCCTTGTAGTTGGAAACTTTGGCTTAGGAATCAGAAATGGTAGAGATGACAGATTTGTAGACTTCTGCAAGGAACATAGACAATCTGTGATGAATGCTTTTTTCAAGCCAACATCCAATGACGCATATGGCACAAGAAGAAGGGGACATGAAGCAATAATTAATATAGAGACAAAATGAAGCTGGAATGCAATTTAGCCATTAATGATTTACAGGAGATTCAAATTCTAGGAAAACTACAGAATTGGCCTTTTTATTTAAGGATCGTGACGAAGTAGCAGCAGAACCAGTTCAATATATTTCCACATATCAAACTCAAAATTTGAATAAATTATTCTTTTATTTTTTATTTATATCTTTCATTATTTTAACAAATAATTCAAGGCGGAGTACATACCTTAAAAATTAACATAAAGTTCTCAAAAAGTTTACATTTGCTAAACCAGTCTCTCCTTCGTCCTTGATGAGCTCTCTCGGAGTTCCTGTCTTCCATTCAATTGTATTCTATTCTCTTCCTCCATAAACTTACTGCTATTTTAGAAACAAGATACTAAATTATTCTTATACTGCTTCTGTTTTGTTTTGCCTGGATTAAAATACAGATTTATCATTGCAGCAGGTGCTAATTTTTACTTACATGAACCTAAAAGTAAGCTGCCAGGCAAGGAGTGGCTGGGAGGGGAGGGACGAGAAGAGGCTGGGCAAGGCCCCTCAATGTGAAGGATGTCAAGTTAGCGATGCCCACCCAGTCACCCCTACCCAGCCGGTCATTAGGGCAGAGAACCAATTGTTAAATTATTTGAATTCCACCACTGCCTGAATTGTGACCTGGTTTATACGAAAATTGGAACTTCTGGCATCGAATCATTTCCTGAAAAACCAAAACCAAAGACATTGAAACATTGTGAGCCTTGTGACTCATTCTTGAACTTCATGTTGCCAGGATTGTTGCTATGCTTGATCAGCCATTACTTTTCTATGCTTTTTGATTTTCAGTTCCTTGGCATGTTTTGGGGTGACACTTGACTGTTTGCCCTAGACTCTTCGTTCTTTGAGCAGATCATGAGACATTTTATGAGCCATGACCAATGATCATGAGCCATTTTATACCTTCTTCAGATGATCCTGATAGACAGGGTATATTAAAATGAGGCTGAGGATGTCCATAAACACAATAAAGCTAAATAAACACTATATTTCTTTGGAGAAAAACTAGCTAGTTGGACAAATACCCTGTTAAGAATAGTATCTGCATTTTACTCACATTCCAGGCCCCACAATTCCTGTTTGGAAGATAATGCTGGCTTTGCTGGATGATTTATTTGATTACAGACTACAGCACAGAATAATTATTCCACCCATGGAAATGACTAATTTTCTCTGTACAAGCAAACATGTAAGGTCTGGATACTTAATTTCTCAAACTGCATAATATATCAATATACATACAGCATTCCAAAGCCACTGGAGTGCATATTATCCCCAGCCTCTCTTTGTGCTTCTTAACACTAGATCAACAGAGTTTTGAAATTCTGCAAGGAAATTGCAGATTTAGGGCAGCATTTTAAACTTCTGTTTAAAGGTGAAGGGCAGTCTTTCGTCTATTTACTTAAGATATCGTGCTGTACAGACTTTGCTGCAGGATCAGAGACTAGCCAAAAAAAACCTTCCCAAAATAGTGTTCTGCCACAGCAGACAAATGGGCACAGCTTGTGCTGTGACAGCATCATGCTTCCACCCATCCCATGTTTTCCTCATGTAACCCTCCTGGTCCTCCTGCTACAGTATCAGCTTGATCTACTCTGGTTCCTACTCCAGTCTCCTCCAAATCTAACTTGATCCCTGATGGTTTCATGCAGACTTCCACATGGGGAGAGCATTTTTGGAAACCATTCAAAAGTGGTTTCTCATTTCACAGAGATGTTGCTTTAACTTTTCAATCTAGCTTCAACCTTGTCTTTTCTGAAAATGTACCAACTGAAGTACCAACCAGGCTCCTATCTCAGGCCAGTAGCTTGCTATCATTTACTAACATTAAAGTTGTTGTATACAGTCTGAAATTGATTCAGAAACACAAGGCAGGCAGAAAAGGTCCGGCTGCTTGAAAAGAAGGAATCCTGTTTAGGTTAAGCCTGAAAATGAGCAGCATAAAGAGCAACAAAGAGGTTTTGTTATTGTGGGATCTAAAGCCATAGTGTGCATGCACATCTTGCCTAGAGCCCATTATTTTCAAAGCATGCACATCTGCCTAGTGCCCATTATTTGGTGGTCTGGAGAGACCAGACTTAAGGAGACTTAACTCTCCCTCTCTGCCTTTTGACTTACCGGTTTGAGCACTCGCAGAACCTCCTTCAAGGCAGCCCGGGGGCTGTTCACGGAGCAAAGCACCAGCGTGCAAACCACCACGTCCACAGAGTTGTCCGGCACAGAAGACAAGTTCTCGGCGGAGGCGACTACAAAATTATCGAAGTGGAGGTGCGTGTTCTGAGCCATGCTCTCCAGGAGGAAATTTTGGAAGTTGGGGTTGTAGTCCACGCAGGTCACGCGAGTGTTGGGGGGATAAAACTGAAAGTTGGTGCCAGTGCCCACGCCAATCTCTAGCAGGTGGAGCTTTCCCGATGGGTCGGTGAAGTCCTGCATGTTCTTGAACAGCGTCTCCTTTTCTTTGTGCAGTTTTACATTGTAGCTTTTGCTCAGCTTCTTCATGAAAAATGGGAAGGTTTTTTTACAAATAGGATCCCATAAGCCAAAATAGGCAAGCACATAGATTGGCAGGATGAGGATTTTCATGCATTGTTGGAGGACGAGAATCAGCATCTTCACCAGTTTAACAAAAACTCTTCCAGCTTGACTCCTTCGGTGGTTTGCTTCAAATACTCCCTGTTCCTTTAATGGCGTTTCGTAAGTGACCGTTCACATCCGGTTTCCAGTTGGGATCTGTTCCAGTTCTTCCTTAAAGCGACAGCGACTCTTTCAAGCCACTTCAAAAATTTTTTTTTAGCTTTGAATGGAGTGGGAGTAGGAATGGATTTCTTATGAAAAGAAATTAGACATCTTTGCTTGCAATTGGAAAAAAAAACTTTGATTTCAGGTTTTGATAATTAGAATGATTTTGTTCTAGAAACAGCTTCAAATGTTTAGAAATGTAAACCAAAAAGTTGAGATCATATTTTTTTTGTAGTTTACTGCTCTATAAAAAGTTGGAAGTTACTTTTTTATCTTTCTTTCTGCACACTTATTTCCCTTAGCTTTCTAACTTTTGTATTTTTATTTTATAACAAGCTTTAATAGCATAAAAATCCACATCAAATAGAAGGAAATTAGATTTCTTTAATATCAATAACTCTCCAAAGTCTTATTGCAGATTTTTGTGAGAAACAACTGATAGCAGAAATGTTTCAGAATTAAAGAAGCTGGAGCTGTGCCCAAAAATACAATGACAATATTTTCTTAGAAAACAATAAAGGACAAATCAGAAAAATGGACAAATCAGAAGCAGATTCAGAAGTGTCAGTGGGTTGTGTGCATGTGCATTGAAAACTTAGCTTTACAAAGGAAAATTCTAGAGCAAAACCAAGAAAATAAACAAATAAACTTAAAAGACAGCTCTATGAAATAAAGGACTGTCCTTTATAATAAAGGATGTATGGTCCCTGTCAAAGTAATTTTGAAAAATATGTACCCTACTTTGGGATAGAGAAACTGGGAAAAAAGTGCAGTGGTACAGAGAGGAGTTGCAAGAAAGATTTTTTTTAAAAGAAATTGGACTAATTCATGTATCTAGGCATTCCACTCATTATTTCATTATGAAAATATGTTGTTGTCTAGAACAATTTAAGAAAAATAAGTGGCAATGTGGAATCGGAGAAGCTGTTTGATGAAGCCAGAGAGGCACTCTAGTTTCAGAACAGAACAAAATAACAGAGTCCAATCCCTGCTCAAGCATGAAACCCTATACCATTTCAGACAGATGGCTGTCCAATCTCTTTTTAAAAGTCTCTTCTGTTGGAGCATCCCTAACTTCTGGAGGCAAATTGGCTTCATACCAATTTGCAACACTCAGGTGACCCTGACAACCCAGTGAAACCTCCAGGTGACCTTAACAACCCACTAAAAGAATGCAAATGACCAACTGTTTGCAAGGAGTGTAAATCCTTCCATTCCCCACCATCCAGTCAAAGATGAAGAAACTTCTTAGAATAACATATTGAAACATTGAATAATTAAATAATGAAAGATTATAACTTCATACAAATGTATGTATTAACATTGGAAATACATAAGCTTGATGAATGTAACAAATATGATCAATGTTATTATTCTTATTTGCACTAAAATGTATGATACCCAGGTTTCACACTGTTCACGCATTGATGTGTATACGTAAAATAAAATAAAAAACTTGGAATTAAAAAAAAAAGATGCTGGACCAGTAGCTGGGAGTCTAATCCTCCATTGGACAAAGATGTTGGATGGTTGTCTTTGGGCCAATCATACTCTTTCAGCCCTAAAAAATATCTATCAACCTATTTTTTTAGATATTTGTTAGATTTTTATCCCACCTTTATTATTTTTTATAAATAACTCAAGTGGTGAACGTAAATAATGCTGCTTCCTTCTATTTTCCCCATAACAAGAACCCTATGAGGTGAGTTGGATTGGGAAAGGCAGGCCCAAGATCATCTAAATCAGGGGTCCCCAACCACCAGGCCCCGGACCGGGACCGGTCCGTGGATCAATTTGTACCGGGCCACCTATTTTGCTTGGGCACTGCCATCTTATTTTGACGGCGCTCGAGAAAGTGCTTCAGGGTGAGCTTGTCGGTTGTTGGTTGGAAAGCGGCGTTTGGGTGCTTAGTTTCGTCGAAGTGGGGGTGGGCGGCTTCGAACGAAGAGCCGTCCCGATGGCAGTGGAGTCTCGCGTGACTCAGGAGGAGATTAAGAAAGAGCCCGAAAAGCCCATTGACCGCGAGAAGGTACAAAGGAGGAGTTGAAGGTGGCGGGGAGAAGCAGGGGACGGCTGGCTGGCCGGTTGCTCGGCTCACCTTGCCTTGGTCGTGCGTGGTGATGCCGTACCGGTCCATGGATCATTTTGTACATTTTGTACTGGGCCATGGTACAAAAAAGGTTGGGGACCACTGATCTAGATGGCTTTAATGGCTAAAGTGAGACTAGAACTCACCATCTTCTAGGCCAACACCTTACCACTACACCAACTGGATTAGCATGGTAGATTTTGGCCTAAAATTTTTAAAAAAGAGGTGCTCATCCTGGAGTGGATTTAATTGGCAGTATTTTATTTTGACTGTTGCTGCTATTGCTGTTGCTATATATGTATAGTCTAGTATATTAATGCTTGGAAAACACTACCAGAGAAGAAAGGAAATTGTGTTTCATAATCACACCATCTAGTATTCTTGTCATCAGGCTACCTTATTATATTTTTTTTAAAAAATCAGCCCCAGTTGCCTTAAAAAAATAAAGTTTGGGGTGAATCTAAATTGAGTGAATTGTACCTAAGATCCACTGGACTAAATGTGAACTTGATTAAAAAAATATTTAAAATTTTTCTTTCTTTTGATTTGGCTTATAAATGATCTGGAGAACCACATAGGCAGTCTGAAACAATAACAAATAAATATAGGGAAGGGAAGTGAGAATTTGCAGCCAACCAGAGATATGTCTAATGACCAAAATATAATTATTTTTTAATCAATTATTTTCCTTTCAATTTTTTTCTTTTCTTTGAAATCAATAGGAAGTAACAGTATAAGGCACAATTTATTTAGTTTAGGAGTATCTGTTATGCTCAGGTTCCCAAAGTGTGCCTTTAACACACATGCAGACAGAGGCCTAGTGGCTGGTGGCTTGAGGTCAGAGAAGGTCTGTGGTAGAGCTGGGTCTGTTCAGAGAATAAGATTCTTGAGAACTGAGATCCCAGACCTGTTTCAATCCTCTCTTTCAGACAAGTCCTCCCAGATTCATTTGTCTGTAAAGCTTTCTGGGAATGTAGCAGCTTTCCTTCCCATAAAACAGGGATCTCCATCCAACCTTGGCAACTTTATGACTTATGGAGTTCAACCAGAGGTGGTATTCAGCAGGTTCTGACCAGTTCTGGAGAACCGGTAGCAGAAATTTTGAGTAGTTCGGAGAACCGGCAAGCACCATCTCTGGCTGGAGATTTTGCAGTATCCTTCACCTGCCATGCCCACCAAGCCACGCCCACAGAACCAGTAATAAAAAAATTTGAATCCCACCACTGACTTCAACTCCCAGAATTGCTCAGCCGATTGGCTGAGTAATTGTAGGAGTTGAAGTCCACAAGATATAAAGTTGTCAAAGTTGGAGACCTCTGCCATAGAGGAAAAGTTTTCACTTCCTTCCTAAACTGCCCTTAGGTGGAGTTTAATTTTATTTTGTTATTCTTGACTTCATTTCCAAGGAAACCAGTGATTGCAGTAGCATTACTGAAATGAGAACCTGCAACCAGCCCTGTTAACATTTCAGCCTCAGGTAGAATAACATTTGATCCAAGAGAAGAGGGTAAAACAAGATGGACATACCTTTTTATTGCAAATTCCAAAGTAAAAAGACGTACAGTACAAAGGAAATCAGATAAGTCAGATGCTGTTCATTCAACTGTTTTGTTACTTTTAAAATGCATGTTATTTTCTTCCCCCTGCTTCTCCCTTCCCCAAAACACCTTTCTCCCATTTGCTGTTGTTATCTTAAACCAAGCAAACCTACAGGTTGGGGTTTAAAGATGTGGACAGTAAACACATTTGTGAGATGGTGTTGCAAGCAGAATGCAGCAAAAAAAAAAGAAAAGAAAAAAGCATTTGCCCTGATTGGGGGGGGGAGGGAAGCTTTTGTGGAGGTTTTAGCAGCATTAACCACACCATTTCATTATATTTTTTCCTTCAATCCATAGTTCTGTCACATACAAATCTAGAACACAAATGTCCATGTGAACCTCAAAAGAGCATTTGAACAAATGTGAATTAAGTTGAGCCTCACAACACCCCTGTGAGGTAGGTAATTACCCATTATACAGATGGGTAAAACTGAGGCACACACAGAGAGGTTAGATAATTTGCCCGAGATCAATCTGCCATTCAGTCACTCATTCACACAACGCTGAAAACAGAAATCACTAGAATCCTGTTAGAGAATTATCAAAGTCTAATACCTGAAAAAGACATTTTCCCATTCTTCTACAAAATCACTCTCTCATCATGCCCTCCCCTCCAGCGCTCTTATTTTCTCTTCCCCACACACTCCCACAAAAACATAAACACACATGTATACCTCTCTATATAAATGTAACATATGAGAAGTTTTTATATGGATTCATATTTAATGTGACACAATTGTAGTAGACATTGAAATCTGTATGAATGTTGTCTTGGATTTCTCTCCATCAAAATGTTCCAATCTAGTTTAACACCAGAGTTAAATTGAAAATCTCTCTTTTTCACTGGTAAATAGAAACTTTGAAAAGAATACTTTGCATTCTGGATAGTGGCTGAGTGGACTGTTACTATTAACTGACCTTTTAAAAGGATTCCACATATTTGTCCTCATTGGGGATCACGATAATCCTGGTAAACTTTAAAACAGTGAATATTTAGTTTGCTATTAGTGCATCTCCTGCCAAGTGCAACATGTACTGATTCTTTGTAAAGGGTGTGGACAAAACATCTACTCAGTGCTCCTTTCACAAACACAGTACTTGCGTTCTGTGACTGTAAAATTCTTATTGTAGGTAATATGGTGAACTTTGAAACGAAGACTAGGAAAGAAAACAAAATCATAGTGTGAAAGGGTGAATGAGATCTGCAGGTACGTGTGCCACATATTCATACAAAACAGGCCTTGTTTCAAAG